TGTTACTAACTGTACTATAAAGTTTTCTCACCGGTGAATGACACATGATGTATTGTAGTAATGTTGTCATGCGTTCAGGAGGCGTGGCTTTGGACAGCGATTTGCAGGGAGGGTGGGACATACGCTTTCAGTGCTATCAGGCTAAAGTTAGCATTTTCCAAGATGTCCTACTGCACCTTTAATGAAGCACTGTCCTCTTGTAAGATGTTGTCGCAGGTCGTCAGCCAGCCATTGGTTAGAGTTCATAGGTTTGTATCTAGATAAGCAAAACAATGGAGTCTTTTGTTTGAATGGTCACCAAATCAGCTCTTCCTCTGGAGGGGTTTTGCATACAGAGTTTTTTCTTTCAGGAAGCTGGATGTGAGACTTACTCTGAGCAACTGAGTAAGGCTTTAATGAATCAGACAGGGCCATTGCCTGTCCTTGTACTGGGTCGTTTTAGTTGGATTGCTGCCTGAGGCGTCTTAAACGCTGGCACGTGGAATGGTATGCTTTGCGTTTATGACATTCCTTCCATTTTCCAGATGTTATTTAGACTGCATCCAGAAGAATGTGATGTTTAATCTGGCATTAGGAGGGTAATTGGTTGAAGTTGGCTTCTGCAAAGAAAGAACCAGCTGGATGTTGCATCTTACATCCTCTCAACAACTTTCGACATGAACAACATGTCAAGCCCATTAGATGATGAGATAAAGCACCATGTTAAACTCATGAGGTGCCTTCGCTGGTAGTCCTGATGTTCCTCACAAAATTAAGTTGACAAGAAAAAATGATTTTAAATGGTTAGCTGTTCACACCAAATGTGAATACATGCATTGGGCAGAGTGATGCTTTTGGTAGAAAATCCAACAATATTGCAAACAGCCATAAAACAAGGGCAAAAGACAAGTGAGTAAAGCTGTACAAAAATGTTATGGATCAATTTGGAAAGCAAAATATTCTACAGTCCGGTCAATTGTTCAGCACTTCTAAAAAAAATAAATGAAACATAAAGTGTAGAACAAACCTTGATTGGCCAGTATTTGCCATCAGGTAATTTGAGCAGCTATGAGGCTTGATGTTTTTCCATAAAAATGAAAATCTTTATATAGAATAATCATGGAAATTTGTTGGCCATAAAGTATGGGAAAAACACTTTTGTCACACAGTAAGCATGTAAGAAATGTTACTGTCTTGAACTGTGTTCACGTTCATGTTTCTCTCATCCGCAGCATCTCCTGGACAAGTTTCTGATCCGCAGCACTTCTCCAGCAGAGAGCCAGGTGTTCTACCTGAAGATGAAGGGAGACTATTATCGTTACCTGGCTGAGGTCGCCGCAGGAGAGGAGAAAACCGGTGAGCTTCTCCTAAACAACATTTATATGAGATTTATACGAAATATACACATTTGTCTTTCCTTAATATCCTTTATTTTGATTTGAGAAACAGATCTCTATATTAGATGGTCTTTGGTGTTCAGCATGGTGTCTCTGAGTTTGAGGCTATGCGTATGTCTGCTGCCAGCTGTGCAGCCACACCTCCACACACACATGCAGATTTTTTGATAGCTACCAGTGGAACAGGTCTTTACTTGTGCCTCCACACCCTTGATGGCTGATGATTGAGGGAATGTTGCACAAATTCTCTTTTAAAACAGAAATGGTTTATGGTTCAGGATGTAAGCTACACTACAGGTATACAATACTAGAGCCCTATGAAATTAGTTTTTTTTCCCCCCAAATTTCTTTTTTCCATTTTATTTTTTCTGGATTACATTATAATTTTGATGTCAGTTTTACTTATATAGCACTATTAAACACACACACACAAATAGTAATAATAATAGTGCCCTAAGTATGTTTGGTTTTTTTTCTCTCTCTGAAATTGTGTTGTGTTTTAACAGTTGATGAATCCATATGTCTCAGAATTTGGCTAAATGAGCATCTTGTCCATGCTTATTATAAAACAGTCTTTCATCAGGATCGTGCTAGTGAGCGTGTCTTGAAATGCTGTCCAGATTGACAGCCCACTAGGTTCTGGAACAGAGCAATAGTGTCCACATGAATAATCTTGCATAACTGCAATAGAGATTTTAATGTTGTTTTACTGATTTGTTTGTCCTTGAGCGAGTACACTGGCTCTGCTCCAAACTCTCTAGCTGCCTACCTAGAAGCATCTTACGCACGCCAACACAAACACTGATCCAGACAGTATGCAGCAGAATGATGCTGCCTTATACACAACACCTCGTTTTAGCCAACATATGGCAGCATCTCATGGAGAAGACAATCTCAGAATGCATTGCTATAAGCCAAGTGTCAGGGGAAATCTCCTTTCCTGATCAAGTACTTCAGAGAATAGATATAATAGCTCCATCTTATTAAAAATGCTCTTTATCCAAACATATGTGTGCATTTTTGTACCTATTAGAATAGCGAGCTGTTAGCAACATTGCTAGGGTTTGGAAGAGAGCGTGATGTTTCCTGTTTGATGCTTTTGAACTCAAGAGGTCAATCAATTAATTAACCCTCGTAATAGAGTTAGAAATCTCATGAAGTAGCCACGGACTCAGAGCTTTCATTAATTATATATGTGGAAATGAAGGCTGGTGGTTTAGATCTGAAGGTCTTGTGTCCTAGTTCATGAAGCTCTTGAGACACAAGCTGCTTGCAGATTAATTTGAGGACGTCCAGTGTGACGGTTTCATGCCCGCATGTAATATTCTCACTGTAGCTCGTATCTGTGCTTTATCACAAAGAACCAATCCAGTCGAGCGATTTGGTTGCGAGTTGGGCACTGTGTTTTTGTGTGCTTTCAGGCGTGGACAATGCAAATGTTGTGGTTTTATTTCTCTCATCACATACGATTCACAAGCGGGTCTCAGCAGATTGAGACACGCCGCAGCGCCGTCCCCGAGTTTTGTTGCAGGAAGCACAGTCTTGTCTGCTCCACCTCGTTTCGTTTCATTAATGAGGCTAATGAGTGATTGCCCTCCACATGTGTTCTTCGGCTGAGTCCGTCTGTGGACTTTCCGATAGATGCATGAGGTTATTAGGGCTGCTGCTTCTCCCTGCAGGGTTTGATGAATTTTTAAGAGCCTGGTGTGTTTCTATGGCAGCACAGGAGCGAATGATCTGACTGAAGCTGCCATCTGTGGAAACGACAGGACCCCGGGCTGTGCCGCAGATCCCAGATCAGTCTGTTTGTGTAGCATTATAGTTAAGCTGCAGTTTTTCCGTAGTTCTTTTCTAGAGAGGAAAGCGAATCGCTCATCTGTTTGAACATAAGCAGCCGCTGACCTACTACTGTCAGTGTGCTGGGCTGTGATCATCGCCATGGCAACAGCATCTGGCTGATGCATGTTGTCCAGCTGGGTTTCGGCTGAGCCTCCTGCGGGTGGCTTTAATATATGCAGCGCTCGGCCTCGGTCTCCTGAATCTCTTCAAATGAACAATTACTGCTCATCAGGCAGAGCGCGTCAAACGCTCTTTACAGAGCTGCCCGTCTTTTTCAAATATTTATGCATTTCTCTCTGAGCACCAATCAATACAGGCAACCGCAAGCTCTTAATGCACCATGATATTGACTTGTTAACAGCTCTCCAGTGAGCAGAGGAGAAGAAAATTATCTCATTTTCAGTCATGTAAAAATAATAAAATGCATGTTTTGAAATGTCTTGGATTTATTTTTATTTTTCTGCAACAGTAACCATCATGAGATATATATTCAAAATGTTAAATATCAGATTTAAAAGAGTAAAAATCTAGTTGAAATAAAAGCACATATTTTTCCACTGACAGTTTTTCTCAAAATAATCAGAAGGAGCAATATTTCATAATTTAGGTACTGTAACACTCCTCACAAAACTTGACAAGGCAGGAGGGAGGCTTTAGGACACTTAACTGGCCAAATAAAAGGCACATTCAGATCAGATTCCAGGAATTTAATATTATATGGCTTGCAAATCCTCAATAAAATATTGTAAATGTTTTATGTGCACGACTGTTCACAAGATTTTGTTTTACAGTATGTTTGAAAATCTCTTATGCTCACTGAAGCCGCATTTATTTAATAAAAAATACAATAAAAACAGTAATGTTGTGAAATATTATTACGATTTAAAATAACTGTTTTCTATGTGAATATATTTTAAAGTGTAATTTATTGCTGTGATCGAAGCTGAATTTTCAGCATCATTACTCCAGTCTTCAGTGTCACATGATTCTTCAGAAATCAGTATAATATGCTGATTTCCTGCTCAAGAAATATTTCTTATTATTATCAGTTTAAAACGTTGTGCTGCTTCATATTTTTGTGGAAATGATATATTGTATTTAGTGATAGTTTTTCAGGATTTTTTGATTAATAGAAAGTTCAAAGAACAACATTTATTTTAAATCATTTGTAACATTATTAATGTCTTTACTGTCACTTTTCATCAATTTAATGCATCCTTTCCTTTCTGAATAAATGTATTTCTTTCATTAAAAAAAAGAAATCTTACTGACCCCAAACTTTTGACTAGTAGAGTATCTTGTCAGCAGTTGATCTGTTCTGCTGTGTGGGAAAGTATGAAATGATTCTTGCATAAATAATGTTGTGTGTTTGTACACAGATATCATCCAGAAGTCTCAGGAAGGGTACCAGGCCGCCTTTGACATCAGCAAAGACAACATGCAGCCCACTCATCCCATCCGCCTGGGCCTGGCTCTCAACTTTTCAGTCTTTTACTACGAGATCCTGAACTCTCCAGAGCAGGCCTGTGAACTGGCCAAGAAGGTTAGTATGGGTGCTCACGGGGCTCACAGCTCATACACAGAAAATAGCTTGGTATTATTTATTAATCCATGTATCTGTTCTCATGTAGGCTTTTGATGATGCCATTGCTGAGCTGGACCAGTTAACTGAAGACTCGTATAAAGACAGCACACTCATCATGCAGCTACTTCGAGACAATCTGACGGTGAGTCCTTATTTTCTGATATTAACTCAGTACAGCTGAGAATTTCACTGCCGATAATCATACAAACAACTGATTTGACTAGCTCTTTAACTCTTACCTAATTGAAAAACAGGGCTTTGGAAACATGTGAACTACTTTTAAATGGGTCATGAAATGGAAAATCGAAATGTCCTTGATATTTACACGCATAAGAGGTTATTCTACAATAAAAACCCTTCAGGTTTCTTACCTCAAACCTAACTCCCCAGTTTAAAATATGAGTTTTTGTTTTCCACCCTTCTGAAACATGTGAAATCGGTGCAATGAAGTTTAGCAATCACAGCGTTTAATTGTGTTTCTGATAGATGTAACACACCTCGAAATGAAGTATTTTTGTTAATGAGGATGAATAATGAAAAACAAATAAATATTTAACCAATATTAGAACTAATCCCTAGATATAAAATATAAAGATCTGAAAATGCATTTCGATATTACAAAACCGATATCCGATTATTGTAAAATGCTTAAATATCGTGAAAAATATCGGTAAATCGATATATCGGTCGATCTCTACATTTCATGACCCCTTTAACTTCAAAATACAAAGCTCATGACGTAAGAAACAACAACAGAAATACGGCACAACACAGCCCTTAATTACATTCAGATGAAGCTTTTTTGACAGTTTTGCTTATTTAATGGAAATTAAACAAAATATGGAAAATGCAACATTACCTACAGTAGATGATCCTGATTATAAAGCACACAAACACAAGTTAATGATGAGTAGATCTTGAAATAATCCTTACACACGACAAGACATTCTTACTACTTACTAAAACACCTCGGTTTAAATGATCCGCTGTATTTCCACAATCAGTATTAAAAACAATTACATTTTCTCAGTTATCAGCAAATAAGTTATACAGTTTAAAAAAAAAAAAAAAGGAAAGATTTCAATGAATGGATATGGATGTGCACATTTTAATGCTCCCCCGTTTTAATGTTTTCAGCTGTGGACCTCTGACAATCAGGCCGACGCTGAGGACACAGAGGAGGGCCGGGAAAACTAAAGCCAACTCCACAAAGAAGCTTTTCAGTCAGCACGGCTGACGCTTTTCCAGTTCCAGCTTCATACTCACCAGCCCGTCATTTATGTGTGTGTTTGGATTTGAGAGTGTGAAGGAGAGACTGTACGTGTGTTTGTTTGGGGGGGAGGGGGACAAACAGCAGTTGTTTGTCTTTAAAATGTGTTAATTGTGGATTGGAGAATGCAGTGTAGTTTGTTGGCTTGATGTGTGCTCATGCATGTGCTCGTGGGATGCCAGTCACCATCAAGCCAACATCAGCTTTGTTGTAGGTGCACATGTGAGAGAGAGAGAGCGCGAGTATGAACCCTTTTCTGAGTTTGCTAGGGGAGCATTTAGTGATGGGTTTCTTGTGGCATAGACTGAATTCTTCATTTTCCTAAAGAATCATGGGAAATAAACCAAAAGTCAGTATGAAAGAAAACTTGTGACAGATTGGGCTTGTGCAAGACATTCTACTTCAGTTGTCAAGTGTTTGATTTCTCATTGGTGAATAATGCGTACAGTCTTTCTTTGTCGACCACAGACCTAAGATCAAAAAGACTTGACACATGGCTTATACTGTAACTTTGATATAAAAGTCTTGTTACCGGAGCAGTAAGTAATGCTTTTCATGTGCTTATCTGATTAATACTGTTTTCTATTAGGAGTTTCGGTTTTTGTTTTATTTGTACTACTACTTACTCGATCTGTTTTTAGTTTGTTTTGTTTACTCTTTTGATACTTGCCTAAACTGCATGTGGCTTTAGTTAATCAGGGTGACTGGAGTTGGCTGATTGGGCTGTCTTAGAATTTTCATACGGAACACTCAGCATTATTGTTATTTGTTATGGAGGGTGGGCGGAGGGATCTGGATCTTATGTTAGTGGAATTAAAACGGATAAAACACAAACCACATGATCTCTTGGTCTTTTTGCCTTGCGTTCGGTAAGGTTTTTCAAACCTGGCCGTTCCAGAAAGATCCTGGACTTCAAATATTCATTTAGATGAGTGCTTGCGGGGGAATTATTAAAGAAACGGTTCCCAAAGCATGAGAGTCGCCCTTATGTTGTTCCAAACCTTTCTTGGAACATAAAAGGAGATGTTAAGAAGGGGGGAAAAAAAACTTTATAGTTATCAAACTCTGAAACTGAGAATGTGACGTCTGTGTTTTCAAACAAAACTGGCTCTGTGGCCATAACTGATGTGAAACTGACTTTGACATGCCGTTTTTAATGGACATTAGAAGACGTGTCTAAACAAATTCGGACCACTGTTGTTATTGTTGACTAAAAACGACAACCAAAAAAAAAAAAAAAGTATGTTAACTCAGCATTATAATCAACATTAAAAAAAACTTCTCCTTTCCACCCATTAAATGGTCCATATAAAAAAAAAATACTAAAATAGACATTTCAGTGGCCAGATCTGGATGTGCACACTTTAACGTCCCTTGCTTTGATGTTTTCAGCTGTGGACCTCTGACAATCAGGCCGATGGTGAGGACACAGAGGAGGGCCGGGAAAACTAAAGCCAACTCCACAAAGAAGCTTTTCAGTCAGCACGGCTGACGCTTTTCCAGTTCCAGCTTCATACTCACCAGCCCGTCATTTATGTGTGTGTTTGGATGTGAGAGTGTGAAGGAGAGACTGTGTTCGTGTACGTGTGTTTGTTTGGGGGGCAAACGGCAGTTGTTTGTCTTCAACATGTGTTCATTGTGGATTGGAGAATGCAGTGTAGTTTGTTGGCTTGATGTGTGCTCATGCATGTGCTCGTGGGATGCCAGTCACCATCAAGCCAACATCAGCTTTGTTGTAGGTGCACATGTGAGAGAGAGAGAGCGCGAGTATGAACCCTTTTCTGAGTTTGCTAGGGGAGCATTTAGTGATGGGTTTCTTGTGGCATAGACTGAATTCTTCATTTTCCTAAAGAATCATGGGAAATAAACCAAAAGTCAGTATGAAAGAAAACTTGTGACAGATTGGGCTTGTGCAAGACATTCTACTTCAGTTGTCAAGTGTTTGATTTCTCATTGGTGAATAATGCGTACAGTCTTTCTTTGTCGACCACAGACCTAAGATCAAAAAGACTTGACACATGGCTTATACTGTAACTTTGATATAAAAGTCTTGTTACCGGAGCAGTAAGTAATGCTTTTCATGTGCTTATCTGATTAATACTGTTTTCTATTAGGAGTTTCGGTTTTTGTTTTATTTGTACTACTACTTACTCGATCTGTTTTTAGTTTGTTTTGTTTACTCTTTTGATACTTGCCTAAACTGCATGTGGCTTTAGTTAATCAGGGTGACTGGAGTTGGCTGATTGGGCTGTCTTAGAATTTTCATACGGAACACTCAGCATTATTGTTATTTGTTATGGAGGGTGGGCGGAGGGATCTGGATCTCATGTTAGTGGTATTAAAACAGATAAAACACAAACCACATGATCTCTTGGTCTTTTTGCATTGCATTCAGTCTCTGGTGTTGTTCAAACCTGGCCGTTCCAGAAAAATCTGAGTGCGGGGGAGTGGGGTTGGTTATTGTGACACAAGTTAAGATTGAAAAGGATTTTCAACTAAACAAAGAAATAGTTCCCAAAAATGAAAGTCGGCATCATTGACTCGCCCTTAAGTTGTTCCAAACCTTTCATGGGGGAGGGAAACTGAAGTCACTAAAGTGAATGGAAACTGGAGCTATCAAACTCCAAAACTGAGAACAAAACAGTCTCTCTGTGGCCATAAATGATGTGAAACTACCTTTTGACATGCTGTGTTTAATGTACATTAATACAAACAGGAATGGAGAGCTACATCAGAAGACATGTCTAAAACCATTTCTGTCTGTTGAACACACAAACTGTCATGTGACTACAGGACTCTTTTCTGTCCCCATTCATTTTTGTTGTATTGAACAGAGCCACCTGGACTTTGTGCCGATTAGCTCGACAAAAAAAAAGAAAGTTTGGAAGAACATGAGGGTCAGTAAAAGATTCCTTTTGACTTTTCCATCTGGGACAGTGCTTTAATGCTGGTGTTGGTGGTCAAGCGGTTGTCTTCTAAGACCTGTTTTACATGCAGAGCAGGAACTGGGTCGTATCATCTCAGTGGGACTGCAGTCATCTGAGTCCTGCACCAGATTCACTGGGCCGAGGAGAGGTGACTTTCAGGACTGGTGAATGAGGCAAATGCTGACTAACTCAGATGGCCTGAAATCACTGCTGGGTTCCAGTCATGAACAAGCAATGTGATTTGTTGTTCATGTCATGATATCTCTACAGTATTGAGCACAAAGTGATAAGCTTAAATGCCATCCTGCTTATGGAAATTATTGGTTATTATTAACTAAAACCATTAAAAAAAAAACATTTTCATTACTTTAACATCAACTCAACATTATCAATAACTGAAATAAAATATTTAAACAAGTTGCCAACATTTCTTATTTTTGTTTAAAGTTGAAGTACAAAAATAACTAAAGCAAAATTAAAACGGAACACTTAAAACAAAAATACATGTAGGCATTTAAAAAAATAAAAATGATACAAAATTACTAAAACTTTCACTAAAATTAAAATGAAAAAAATGTAAAATAATTTGAAAACAAAACTATAAAAGTATATCAATGATAATAAAATAACAGTTACTTTAACATCAACTCAACATTATCAATAACTGAAATAAAATATTTAAACAAGTTGCCAACATTTCTTATTTTTGTTTAAAGTTGAAGTACAAAAATAACTAAAGCAAAATTAAAACGGAACACTTAAAACAAAAATACATGTAGGCATTTAAAAAAATAAAAATGATACAAAATTACTAAAACTTTCACTAAAATTAAAATGAAAAAAATGTAAAATAATTCGAAAACAAAACTAAAAGTATATCAATGATAATAAAATAACAGTGACTCGGACGGGGATTTTAAAATTGTGAATTGTGATTGTGAGTCTGAAAACTTATGAAAATTACTACAATCTTTAAAAAGTCATGAAAATTACTAGTAAATTAAAGTGGCTAAATTGCTCTTTAAAACGAATTTAAAATATATATATATACAGCTTCCAGTAGCTGTATAGTAATTCAGTGGTCAAAATGTGGGAACCCTGTTTCTGGCAGGGTGTATAATGTAATGTAACATAATTATAGAAAACCTGGAAATATCGGGGAAAATAAAATATAAAAATAAAATGATATATCATTTAAAATTGTGATTCCCAGTCTTATGGGGATTAAGAAAAAAAAAAAAAACATGAAATTTAAATATTAAATGCGCATTTCAGTGGCTAGAAACTGCTCTCTGAAACTGGAATAATTTATATATTTAAAAAAATAAAAAACTGATCCAGTGGCTGTATCTAAATATCTGGAGACCTTTTAACAAAACATGATAAGATAAGATAAGATAGAAAACCTGGAAATATGATGAATTTTTATTATTGTAATTTCTAGTCCTTTAAAAAAAAAGAATCCCTGTTTTGTCCATCCAGTATCTTATTTTTGAAGTAAACTGGAGCACCTCTGGAAAGCTTGTTGAGAAGGTCCCGTTCCTCTCAGTTGGGGTGTGTCAGTAAAGAGCCTCTGGCTAAGGCTGTGGGATGGGCCGTGTTTCCATGGAGACGGGCAGACTGCGCTGAACAACAGTACTTATATGAAGAGAGGATGAGTAATAAGCAGGAAGGGACGGGAGACAGAAACTTCTCTGAGTAATGGACAATCACACGGTCATGCCACACAATACATGTGCGTTATTACACGCTTCAGCACTTCAGATGGCAACTTTGATATGAGCAGCCTCAGTGAAAGCAGTTTCAGCAGCATTCACGCAAGAAGCTCACGATACTTAAGAGAACAAAAAACACAATTCGCTTTCAGTCTGACAGATTACAACTCTTCCTTCCCACCTAATGTGCTGGATAGATTGCTTACAAATCGTAGTCCATTACTGATTCCAAATTACATGACAAAAATTGTAGCTTGTGACGTGATCCGTTACATTACACATTTTAGGAAATATAATTGGACTACTTTTTGATTACTTTTAGAACCTTTGTTAGGTATCAGGGATACAGCCTTACGATGGTTCAGTTCATATCTTAAAGACAGGTCCTTTTCTGTAGAGTTAGGTAAGTTCTCTTCATCATCTGCTCCTATTATTAGTGGAGTACCTCAGGGCTCTATTCTGGGCCCGCTTCTTTTTAACTTATATATGCGTCCTCTGGGGGACATTATTAGGAAGCATAATGTTTCATTTCATGCTGACGATACAGTTGTACCTGCCGCTAAAAGCTGAAAAAATTGTTGGAATGTATCTCGGATATTAAGAAATGGTTATTAAATAACGTTCTCCAACTTAATGAGGACAAATCAGAAATAATTGTTTTTGGTCCCCCAAAATTAAGGTGGGGTCTCATTACGGAGCTGGGCAATCATTTCCCCTCATTTTCCTCCCAGGTTAGGAACCTTGGTATTATTCTGGACTCAGTTGGACAGTTTTTATCAACTGCGGATCATTTCCAAACTTAAACCGAAATCAGAAATAATTGTTTTTGGTCCCCCAAAATTAAGGTGGGGTCTAGAAGGTTATTCATGCTTTTATTACTTCACGTTTAGATTACTGTATATAGATTCACTGTATTTGGGTCTTCCTCGGTCATTGCTTGCACACCTCCATTTGGTACAAAATGCAGCTGCAAGGCTGCTGACCAGGGCAAAGAAATATGACCATGTCACCCTAATTTTGGCTTCACTTCATTGGCTCCCGGTCCATTTTAGAATTCAGTTTAAGATTTTGTTGTTTGTTTTTAAAGCTCTTAACGATCAAGCTCCATCTTACCTTAAAGACCTTCTTACCCCTCAGTCATCTATCAGATCTTCTGACAGGGCTCTTTTATCTGTCCCTCGTTCCCGTTTTAAAAACTTAGGGTGACAGAGCCTTTTCTGTCACTGCGCCCCGTCTATTAAACCAACTGCCTCTGGACATCCGCCTTGCACCTTCTATTAACATTTTTAAATCGAGGTTGAAAACATATCTCTACTCCTTAGCGTTTTAAATTTACTCTACTTTTGTTTTATTGTCTGTCTTGTTTGGTCTTACTCTGTTTTTTTTTTACTTTATTTTATATTGTTCAGCACTTTGGATAGCTTTGCTATGTTTATATGTGCTATATAAATAATATTTACTTACTTTTGACCTAACTTGTTTATCACATTGATTTAAAGAGAATAATCTTGTACCATATTGATATAAAAACACAAAGAGAAAGAAAATATATTTCATTTGTTATTAATGACATGAAGTGCATTAAATATCACATTACATCAAGGTTTCACAAACTGGAGTTTGTGAAGGAAATGTATCATGAAAATGAGCACTCAGTCTGTAAATATCCCATTAAATGTATAGGATCTTGTTCTAAGAACATATTTTAAATGACCTTTTATTTTTATATTTTCACTTTTCATTTTGATTTTAGTTTAAGGTTTTTTTGTTGTTGTTGTTTTGTCATTTTTATCAGTTTTTAATATTTCTGTTTACCTTTAGTTTATTTTTATTTCAGTTTAAGTTGGAGTTTTTAAATGCAATATATTTCATTTTATTTCAGTTGCCAAAAATATTTTTTAATAGTTTTAGTTAACAATAACAACATTGCAATAAACAGCAGAATCCACATGCAGTGTGACAACATGCCCCGCTATAATATCATTTTTGGAATTAGCGTTTATTTTTATATTTTCCGTTTTCATGTTAATTTTATGTGCTTTTTGACATTTTTTACCAGTTTTTGTTTTTAGCTTTATTTTGTATAACTTTTTTTTTTTTAGCTGTTTAGTTTTATTTTGTTTTAATGTTTTAATTTCAGTTCAAGTTGAATTTTTTTCACATTATATTTATGTTTGACTTTATTTCGATTATTTTTATTCAATTATTATAATAGCTTTAATAAACAATACTGCAACAACAACAACAAAAAACGCAGAATCCAAATATTTTGTGACAACATGTCCCACAATAACATCAGTGTGCATTAAATCAGCTGTATTTTTTTCCTGGAAAATACAAAAAGTTAAACTGCTTTTTAATAGCCATGACTTTGACAACTTCTGCTAGGTTCCCTTAATTCTGAGAATTATTTGCTAGTGTTGTGGGAAAAAACACTACCAATAACTGCATTTGTGGTCGTAAATTGCATAAATAATTAGAAGGTAATAAAATGATACTAGCACACATCCAGCAGACATGTGTTCATGTCTAAAAACACAGGATACCTCTGTAGCAAACACAGATCTGCAGGAGTCAGTAGTTCTGCAGGTCTGTGACTCCCTCTGTCGGTGATCTTCAGCACACTCACCGACATGCTGTTAATCAACTATGAACTATGATTTCACATCATGTTTTGTAAAACTGATAATAACTGAGTTTTGTAATAACTGAGTGAA